CAATTTGTTGACAATCTCGTTGAACCTCTTGTTCATGTCTTGGATTGTCTCACATGACCCTTTCTTGAAAGATTCGTATTCCGAATTCCCGAGGGCTAGCATGGTTTGTTTTGTTGAGGTGTCTCCTTCATGTGTAGCTTGGAGTAGATCCCACACCTCTTTAGCCGTTTTGCAAGAGCAAACACGTGCGAATTCGTCGGGACCAAGAGAGCAATGCAAAATGTTAATTGCTTTTGCATTCATTGATAGCTTTCTCTTGTCTTCCGAAGACAAACCTGCAAAATCACCATTACTCGGCACAAATGGCCCGTGTAGTATATTCAACCATAAATCAAAATCAATTGATTGAATAAAATATTCCATCCGCATTTTCCAATAGGAATAGTTTTGGCCATTGAAAAACGGAGGGCGGTGAATGCTTTGGGAATCCATTTGAGCCATTTTTCAATAAATTTGAATTTTTAAAAAATTAGGGAAAATAAAATTTTGAGATCTTAAAATTCAAATTTAAAAAGGGACACAACAAGTAGATCTTTTTCTAGATGCGATTAAGCACTTTCAACTACAAAACTGCTCTGATACCAATTGTTAGTCGGTTTAGTCGTTGTGCGGTGATTAGGGTTGATTTAATTCAAATTGGCAATTTTGCTACAGTGCTGTAACGGATCCGGTACCCTTCACGGTAGGGTCTGTACCGTCCGGTACCTAGGTACCGTGACCACGGTATAGCCTACCGTTTGGGGGTACCGTGTCTTCCAAAAGTTTGGTTCGCCTCTGGCGGTACCTGTTTAGGACGGGTTCGGCCAACCGTCTACGCCTACCGTCGGTACCTAGGTACCGTTACACAGTATGGGGGACCGTGTAGGCGGTATACCCAACCGTATGGTGTACCGCTAGGGGTACCGTGACTCTGTTCTGATTTTTCCAAAATTCCCTTAATCCTTCGTGTTTGAGTTTAAAACCTTTTAGATATTTGAAAATGTTTATGTGATGGTTTTAAACATATTTTGTGAGTGCTTTTGAGCTTGTGAATATAGGTATATAAAGTCATATCCTTACATTGGTTTCTACCTATATTCTACGCTAGTTTAGTGTTTCGACTTCATTCTTGAGTACCGAATCTTAATGGATTCTTGTTTTCCTGAAACACTTAAACAAACGTTAAGCTCTTATATTGTTTGTTAACATCAAAACATGAGACTTAGCAAACCAAGACTAACATATATGAGAGAAAAAAAATTATATTTCCACTATTTCAGGACAGTATACAAAAAACTCTCCTCTGTTTACAANTAGGACGGGTTCGGCCAACCGTCTACGCCTACCGTCGGTACCTAGGTACCGTTACACAGTATGGGGGACCGTGTAGGCGGTATACCCAACCGTATGGTGTACCGCTAGGGGTACCGTGACTCTGTTCTGATTTTTCCAAAATTCCCTTAATCCTTCGTGTTTGAGTTTAAAACCTTTTAGATATTTGAAAATGTTTATGTGATGGTTTTAAACATATTTTGTGAGTGCTTTTGAGCTTGTGAATATAGGTATATAAAGTCATATCCTTACATTGGTTTCTACCTATATTCTACGCTAGTTTAGTGTTTCGACTTCATTCTTGAGTACCGAATCTTAATGGATTCTTGTTTTCCTGAAACACTTAAACAAACGTTAAGCTCTTATATTGTTTGTTAACATCAAAACATGAGACTTAGCAAACCAAGACTAACATATATGAGAGAAAAAAAATTATATTTCCACTATTTCAGGACAGTATACAAAAAACTCTCCTCTGTTTACAATGCTAAATTCCAGACACTCATAAACAGATCTTTCCATATCCTATATTTGTATGTATTTTTTCGAGTAACTAAAACTAGTTACTCCCTACTATCACAACACACTCACCAATGGATTCAAATGGTTCAAAGTCGAACATGAACCTTAGGAATGGCCTGGAGTTCATGTTCATGTAGAAGTTATGGGATGTGAAAACCAAAAGCCAGGGGTGTCTACAGGTTTTGTACGTTGGGAAGTTGGCCGTAACACAGAAATTCTTGAGGGCACAAACTTCTCCTTCCTTGATTCTGTTTTCAAAATATTCCAGTTCTGGATTGTTCACTTTTCCATGTATTCGTGTGCCCTGTACAAAAGAAACATTTAATAACTAAAGGAATAGCATTAATTCATGTTAGCCACTGAAAAATTGAATGGTAATGTATCTTACAAATCTATCGTGAAAAACAATATCCATGCTCCTCGTTCCTTGCTCCCAACACTACGTAAAACTGGACTGTGATATCGTCTATTTATAACATTGAAATGAGTCTGAAGTTATTTAGGGAGAGTGGGCTGTAGTGGAGAATTGCTAATTAAAAAAAAAAGCTCCATTTTACAGATGGGAAGTTGCTGCAGAACGTGCTCCCTCTACGGAAATGCTGCAAGGAACGTGGCTGATAAACTACTACACCCTCTATAAAAATTCTGAAATGAACGTGGGTGATATGAAAATATTAGTAATAATTTTATATTATTATTATATTAATATTATTATTATAATCTTCATCAATGTAATTGACAGTGGAGTTTTAATAGTATATCAATCTCAGAACATTTATTTTGTTTTTGGTATTCTTTTTATAAATTTAATTTAACTGGAAATGTAAAATTTGATTTTTTTTCAATTTATTTAGTTATTCCTGATTGTGTGATAAAAGAAATTAAAACTGAAAAAAATTGTTTTCAACTAGAACTGTTAAAAAATTTATTTCTGAAATTAAATAAATGAAAAATCGTTTATATAATAATTAAATATGTGGAGAGTATTGGAAAGTATAATGTTACGTTTTTTTTATAAAAGTAGGCCCATTTTCGTGTCCTAAATTAATGTTTTATTATTTCTGGCCCGTATCCATAAATAGGCTCATAAATTTAGGCGGGAAAAAAATCCTGCTGCCTTTGTATAGAGGTAGATTAAATTTTGTGATATCAAAAAAATAATCTGATACTTATTATTATCATTTATCATTTTATTTTTTAAAATAATTATTAGGTAAGGAGTTCCGATTTTATATGTTAATTTACTGGCAGAAATTTCCACTAGTTTTGTGTTATTTCAATTTTGAAATATTGGCGGAATATTTTGCCGCTTATTGTTATTTTGAGATACCGGCGGACTTTTCCCTTGGTCTGTTGCTTTAATTTAACTTACCCTAGATCTAGTTTATTGTCTATCTTCATATAAAGGCTTTGAAGAGAGGAGTTGTGCGCCATCCTCCCTCGCCGATCGTCGTCGTCTCTCTCCTCGGTCTTTCGTCGATGTTCCTCACCTCGTCATTCATACGCGTTCGTCGTTGTCCCTCAACTCGTTGTCCAGGACCGACCATCGTTGTCCCCAAAGAGAAATCATGTTTTTTTCTAGAAATTTTTTTTACTCTGTAATTGAAGAATTAATTGTAGATAATATTTATGGAGTATGTTACTTATTATGTTTGAATTTCAATTCGTGATTTTGAGGTTTAATATACATAATTTTTCCTAATTTTAGATTATATTGAACTTTAGATTTCTCCATTCTACCATTTGCAAGTCTAGAAATCACCCTAAATAGGACGAAAACATAGAAAAAAGTACCAAAATAGGACTTTCATGTTTTTTTCCAAAATAGGACTTTGCTGTGGTAATGTGACATTGTACATGTGCACATTACTATACTTTTCTGGTAATGTACATGACCATGTTTGGTAATGTAAGTCCTATTTCGGGAATAAAAAACATGAAAGTTCTAATTTGGTATATTTTCAATGTTTAAGTCCTACTTTGATCTTTGTCTTGTCCAGGTATGCCTCAAATTTCCCTTTAATTTTGTAATTGTGTTATACTCCCCCTTGTAAAAAATCTTACTCCAAGTAGTAAAAGGCTTCTGCATAATATATTTTTGTTATACTAAAAATATTCTTGTTTGGGTTTTTGAAAAGTTTAAAAATATATATTTAATTATATTTACGTAACTTTTTTAAATAATTAAAAAATATACCGGGGGATATTTTCGGCGCAAAATTAGTGGCGGAATTGTCTCCCACAAAGTTACCGGCGGAATTTCTCCCCTTTAAAATTACCAGCGCTTGTTTTAGCGACGAATCTTGTTCCGTCGCAACTTCGACGCTAAAACATCATCACTCGCGGATGTTAAACTTAAACCGGAAAATATTTCCCACACAGTTCACGTTATTTTTTGTAGTGGTTATTATTATTTCTTGGGTTTCCACCGAAAAAATTACCAATGTTCGATGCCTCAAAATCTTCAGACACATGAGGTTGGTTGTTCAAAGCATCCATGTGAGCAGAAGTTGTGGAGTCGAACATAGCTATTTATTTTAAATACATATGTACATTTATGTATTATATTTAATTAATTAACATTTTTTTACAAAATCGTAACTTGTTCAAATTTTTTTGGACAAACAAATCTTTTAAAAATTTGTAAGCTTTTAATCACAAAACTTTAACATGCCTTTTTTTAATCAATGTAGTGTAAAATAATTATAAAAGTATACAAAAAATGCTACTATTTTTTTGTTACGATAAGTCGAAAGCAAAAAGAGAAATAATTGTTATCCATTTTTTTCTGGTAAGTAGAAATAAAATTTACGCTAACTTCTTTTAAACAAGTTCTTATGGTAAAAAAAGAACATAACTTTTGCATTTTTAATGGTAAGTAAATGAAAAAGATACATATGTTAATTTTTTTGAACAGAAAAATAGAGATAAAGTTTTCTCTAAAATATTTTTTGACGATTTTCTCTAAAATAATTTTATTTTAAACATGCATGCTTATGTGTATTAAAATAAAGTCAAAATATCGTTTAAAACTATTTGTTACGCAATTTGTTTTTGTAGATACGGTAAATACACATAAAACAAATTGTGCAAGTATGATTTTTTTAAACATACTTATATTTATTCAAATATCAAGTCCGAAGACCATTTTAAAACTTTGACTCAGATACCAAAATGTAACACGCTAACTTGAATAGTCTCATCGACTATTCCAAATTACATAGTTAAGGGAAAAATATTAATTTCCGATAAAAACATCATATGAGCTAACATTTATTTAAAATAGCAAAAACAAGTTTAGAATATAATATGTTTGTAAACATAACGTCATAAAAAACTTTTTATTCAAGTAATATTTTTATTTAAATAAAACACATAACCGTCTTTATGAAAATGAATTTAGTTGCCATGTCCTGCACTTCCACTTGTTCTAGCTCCATCACCTACGTATGTACAGTAAAACAAAAATAGTGTACGCTCAACATATTTGCTAATAAGTGGTACAAAACAATATAGGACAAAGTCATGTAAAAATATAATTTTTACGAAAATTAATATTTAGATTAATAGATATCAAACACACTTTATTTTTATAGAATAAATTTCTATATATGAAACCATATAGATATAAGTTAGATAGAAACTTTATAAACTATTTTAATCAAACTACTGGATGGGATACAAAATATTCAATTTAACGACATACACCGGGGGGGGGGGTCTCTGAATGCAGTCTTGATAAATATTGCCTTTTGGGAATTGTTCTTGCAGCATTCGTCAATGGTTTTGTATACGTATACGATGATGAGCAGTGATAAAGATCTCTCACCGTTGCTCTGAAATACAAGTTTGCAAGGATCTCAAGTTGTTCAAGCTTATGATAATATTCAAAAATATAAATTTTGAATACTATTACATATACATCAAATCATTTTTACAAATCAAGATTTAATAAGAAATTACTTGTAAAACTTTAGTACTAAAAGTATTAAAATACCAATTTGAGAGTAACATACTACTTTGTATACTTTGGGCAAAAATGGTTTCATATCATACAAAGAGTAATAATTGTTTTAAAGGATTTTAACAAATATAGTTGTTGCACAGGAAGTCTGTGCAATACGGTTTTGTACATACATCAAGTTTGATAAAAAAAGGTGAAACGAAGTTCTAGAGTGCTACCGAGCTCTACTGAAGAACAACTGAATAGCAAAAAGTGTCTCAATAACTTGATGAACACTGAGAAAAAATGCAGGATTTTCAGAAGAGGTTCCTTACCTTAAATGAGCTCTAAATGAACTCTTGTTTGGCTCTAACTTCTTCTGGTATTTTGGGCAAAGGTTTGATAGTATATTAGGAATAAAATAACTTAGTAGTTTCTTAGATATGTAGGCTATAAAGAAGAGAAAAGTTGCGGCTATGTTTAAGGAAGTTTTTTGAAAAAATGAATGAACATATGGGGGTATTTATAGGTAGAAACAACTGATGAGGGTTACCTCAACTTGATCATGATAATCTAAACTACTTTTGGAGGATCCTAATATCATAAAATCTGGATCATATCATCAAAAATGAAGAGAAGTGTAAAACTCTTAAAATATGTCATGAATAACCACTTGAAATATTTTGAGAATATTTGATGATGTTAAGAGTGATTGGGGTTAAGTTAATGTGTTAAAGTAACTAAAAAGAGTTGAAATAATTTAGAAATAGATTCAAAAGAGTTCTATTAAAAAATCGATTGTAGAAGAGTTTAGATATTTTTGGGAATGATAACAACTAGAAGTCCATGCTATTGTTTGCTACCGCTGGTGGTGAAATTTTCTGCTTTCAATTCTGCTCTGCTGCGAAAT